GCACTTGCGCTTACTCTCTCGCGAGCGCAATTGAGTTTTCAATTCTGCTTTGAGTCGCATTCTTAAACTTTCTCACAGCAACAGCTATTTTCCATTTCAACTATATTCTCGTACTATATTGGTACGAGAATCTCAGCAACATGTTAAATGGAGTTTGTGTCAATGTTGTGTGGTTTGATTTGTGTGCTGTTGGACGTGTTGTTCGCGCCCAGTTTTAGCTCTCGCACACACAAAATAACACATAAGCACACACACACACACACACACGCACAGTCAGTGCTGAGTCTCGAATATTGGTTTAGGCAAGATCCAAATGTTGTGCATGTAAATTGACTGGGCGACTAAGCGCACCCCAAAAAACTTAGTCCATGCCCGATGATATCAGTGCTGGCATGCACCCCACCTGGTGGGTAGTTGCTTTGATAACCAGCGAAGTCAGATAAGCAATAAATTATTTATAACATCGTTCCCGAAGCATATCCGAAATCGCCAACTTGCGTCTTATCTAATCGCCGTGTAAATACTTAGAGGAGCGCATTAAAAATATATATACAAGAAGTAAGAAGTAAAGCTATTCCCTCAAAAGGGGCTCAAATGTGAGTAGCTACAAATGGGGTGTATGGGGTGATATGCGAAGTGCTATACATATATAAATATATATGTATCTGTGTATATTAAAAGACACGGAAAGCGACAATAAAGTTATGCATGCAAAGACTGGGTGCTGGCAGGGGCGGGTCTGGCCAAATTGCGCCTTGATAAACGCAAGCGCCAATCGAGGAGCTCTTCAAGTGGTTGTCGCGCTTGCTGTTACTATTTTATTATCATTTTTTAACAATTTTATGCGCTCATTTTATTTTCTTGATGATTCATGCGCAAATTGAACAAATATTTTGGACACACGAATTTGCGGTTTTCGCTTTGTAGGTTATAAAAGTCGCGGTGAAGCATCTGAAGCTTTCGGGCGGCAAAGATCACATCTGAGTTTTTTAATTACGATATCATTTATTTTACCTGTTTGTCGTTTTATAGCAGTTGCATGTCAGGTTTTAGTCGAACGGAATTAAATCTTCTATTATTTTGTAATACAAAAATATGATTCTAAGTTTTCAAGATAATGGAATGAAAATCTTGTAGCTAGAACCTTTTCGTTCAACTTTGTAATGGAATGAAAGTCTTCTATAAGAATATTTGTCGAAAAGCCCACAGTCTAGCATACATTTTAGGTTCGTTGATAAGTGAATCGAATCAACTAGTGAAGAGAGAAGACACTGGTTCAATTTTTACCATGTTTAAAAATGGGTAATAAGACTACAATGCTATTTTTGCAAATGTATAGAAGAGAAGAAAACATCTGTGACCATAAAATATATATTCTTGGTCAGCATCAATAGCCGAGACGATCTTGCCATTTTCGTCCGTATGAACGCATCGATCTTAGAACCTACCTATAAGAGCCTGCAGAAATGCAATTTTGAACGTAGATCCTCTTACTTATATATGTAACTATTATATAACTTTCCCCATTCCTACGCAATCGATAAAAATCGATATCGACATTCTGTTTTTAAGAAAAATCTCTTTGGATAGTCACCGAATTTAACATATAACTTCCAGAATAGCATAAATATATCAAGTATCTTTCATTTTAGAGCTAAGATCGTAGATACTTAAGCTTTGGGATAAGAAATGCCAAGCCTTTCTAGAGTTCCATACTTAGTCATCGATTGAGGGGAATATTTTTATTTATACACAAAGTCAATTAAGATTTCCGAGAAACATTTTCGAATCTTTAAGTATTTGTACAAAAATTAAACTAAAGTAAATATTCAATATAATATATAATAATAATTTACCGCCGGATGCACTATTTAAATAAATGAAAGGCAAGGCAGTTACGCATGTGCCCCCGACCCCGCTCCCGACCTAACCTAGGCTAGTTGTAGCCATTTTAAAGCGAATTAAAGCAACAAAAATAAACTTGCGCATAAAGCGCTAGATAAACAATGTCTAGTGTGTGCAAACGTGTGTGAGATTGGGGCAGGCAAGGGTTGCTCTAGGATTAGGTGACTGGGGGCTGGGGGTGCTAGGCGCAGATAAAGGAAATAGAGTGCCCACCTAATCGCCGTGTCCTTGTGCAAACACACACGTGTTCTTGACAGCGATTGCGCTTTTGCAAGAATAAACACAACACGCTGAACGCGCGTAGCTGATAAGCAAGCAAAATCACAGTGGACACACGTTAGGGCGAACTGCCTATAAATACTTTTCAATGCGAAATCTCTGCTTTCTATAGATCGATCATACTGTTGCTGTTGCTTTATTTTAATGAAAAGCTGAGGATTCTCGAAAAGTTTTTGGATCTTAGATACAGTATCAGAAGCTTTTAAAGCAAAAACCGACAATTTTGAGCATTAACTGTAATCCCAACAAATCAACCCCACGTTTAAAGAAAATAAATATTTGACAACATATTCTAAAGGATTAAAAAAAAATAAAAACAAGCATAAGTCTTAAAAAAAATAAAAAATATAAAAAACATAAGTAAATAAATAAGTAATAAAATACATATAGATTTGAAAGAATATATAAACATTAAATAAAAAGAAAAAAAAAAACTAAACATAAGAATAGGCATAAAAACTATTATAAAAAAAATAACCAATTTCATAAAATTATAAAAAAAAAAAAACCAAAAAAGGATTAATAATAAATGCTAAGATACATATAATAAATAGAGAATATACAAATTTAAATATATGTATAAAAATCAATCATACAACAATTCGCAAAAAAAATGTATGACAAAAAAAAAAAAAAAACAAATTAAATAGAAAAAATAAGAATAATATAATATAGTTTAATATGTAAATAAAATTTCCTAAAAGTAAAAGAACAATGCGCAAAATATAAAAATAATTGATCATAAATCAATAAAATATATATGAAGCATATGCATGAGCAGTTTTCTTTTCCACCACTCTACACTTGTCTGATTTAATGTTATCCGCATTAGCGAGTGTCTACTGTGCCAGCTAATCATGTGGGCCAAACGCTAAGCAAATACTTGAGAAACTGCTGCTGCTGTGGGCTGCTGTGGCTGACCGTTACAAGGATCACAGGGATCAGGGAGAGGCCGCCGCCAGGTCTTTCTCACGGATTTGCTGTGGCGCCAACTTGTTGACAACGCGGGGGCAGCCAACAACGTTGCACTTGCCACTTGCCACATTTGCGACACAGCGCCCAAGTGACAACGTTGTCTGTCTCGTATGTTATTTTCATTGGATTTGGTTCCACACACGCACACACACACACACACACACACACGTCTACACCTGCAGCCCCACACAGGCCCAAGGCGCAGAGCCATGCCCCACACCGTGCCCTACCGCCCACCACCACCCCCATCCTCTTGTCGTCTGGCCAGCTTGTTAGCAGTTAACATCTTTATGCTAAAAACATATTTATTCGCTTTTTATGCCTGAATTGATTTGTCGTCTTCATTTTGAACGTGTTTCGCCGCACATTTATTGTGCCTGAAGTCGACAATATAGATATATAGATATAGATATATGCATATAGATATATATACATATATATAGACGAGCTACTACTATGCGTTAAAACGTGTAAATTCAGTTCTCATATTTACATATGCGAACGTATTCCCAAACGTTTCGTTTCTGCTGCTGCTTCTTTAACCTTTTTTTTTTCTTTGCGGCTCGCCGAGTTTGTTTATTCGTTTAAAAAAAAAAAATAAAAAAAGAACAAGAACAACAACCGCAAGCACATAAAATTGTGCTAATCAGCGGTGCGAAGAGCGCCACGCTTAGTCATTCATAAATACGTTGACTCCGGGCTAACTCTGTGAGGATTACCCCTGCGGATATCCAGGAAATCCTTAGTACGCTTTGTTTAAGCATTTTGCACTTGACGTTTCGCTTTTAATATGCGAAATTTATAATTGTGCAGATATCCTTAGATTTCTTGCTTGTACGCCTAAAAAGTTTATCCAACATATGTTTTTTATACACTTGTGTAGGGTATTTTAAGTTTGTCATAAACTGAGCCACGCATAGAAGGACCCCATTAGGTATATCTATTCTAGATTTTGGATGTCTACATAGGTCCGTCTTTCTGTTGCAGGCAGTAAATATGTCGACTCAGACCGGTTCGAAAAGTACGCTCTAGTATGAACAACGTTTTTCTTAACATCTTGACCAAACTCGGCAGTTAAGTTTCATTATACTACCTATATATAAGCGAAATCGTATCAATATCGGACCACTTTATCATATAGCTGCCATAGTTGTATGATAAACTTTTTTGTTTTTCAAGAAATCTAGACCAAACGAACTTTCCTATTCTCGTAAGGGTATTAAATGTTCGACGTTCCTCTTCCTTACTCTTTTTTTTTAATACTCTATGGTGATTTTAAATATTTCTCTTAGCAATAATTAAAAAATTTCTCAAATATTTTCCTTGATTTAACTATTCGAAATGCGCAAAAGATTTGCTTAAATACTTTTGCTACATTATAAGAATTAAAGTTTCAAGTCAATATCTGTAATTCATTTAAAAATATCTATAAATAATTCAAAGATAGCTCGAAGAACTATTTCTAAATATTGAATTTAATTTATATTCCCCAAAGATTATCCCAGCTATGCAACAAGCCGCCAGTCTTTAGAGTTCTAAGACTCTTTGAAGATTCTTAAAGATGAAGTGGAAATAATCAACTTTAAAAATTAAAGTGTTCAATTATTAATAAAAACCCTTTGAGGGTCTTTTGAGTGTCCTCCATTTAAAATCCATATTTAAAACTAATCACAAGGTCTTAACTTGTGTAACCTAGACAGCCCCATCCAATCTACAGGCCTTTACTGCTAATTAATGAATAATAAAAATTGAATTAAAGGCAGGTATCTAAATTACATGGATTGTCCAGATATTAGGCAGAATTTTCCGTTTTGCCCAGCTGACGTTTACGTTGAACTTACTTGGCGGATGCCTGCACCAGATTCCAGTCATAACCCTCCAGCACCTTCATCACCGCGCTGGTGATGCGCTCGTCCTCCTTGCGACCACCCTGGCCGGCGGCGCGCTTTTGCTCCGCCTTCAGTGCATAGTTGGCCAGGACTAGGGTCTCCACGGGCTTGGCGCGCTCCGCATTTGAATTGGCGCTCATAGTTTGACCGACGGCTGTTCGGCTCAATGCTCAGTCAAAGTCAGATACAGCTGCGGCTTGAGATACAGTTTCAGTTCGAGATACAGATACAGATAGATGTTACTGGCACAGATACAGATACACGGGCACCAAGGAACACTGAAAACACCCACACAGCTGGCGAGGCGACGCGACGCGGCAGACAAGCTAACTGCGACTGATCTGCGCCTGCCACCGGCGGCTGGCACTCGGCTCGGCTTGTCGGCGACGAGCGATCGGGTGAGATAAGCTCAAGACGCCGTTGGTTGGACGCTCGGTTGCTCGGCTCGGCTCGTCAGCCTGTCCAACTGTCCCACTGTCCCTCTATCTGCTCCGTCTCGAACTGGAGCTGACGATCCGCGGCGGGGGCGCGCACATAAAAATCGCGGTACGCGTGTAAACATTAACATGTTCATGTGAAATTAGGTGGCCCCAGCAACGATCCTAAAGCGGGGCCAAAGGGGACGATCGAGTGACAGTTGAAAGAAACCAGAGAAAGAAATAGACGGAACGAGGGTGAAAGAGCGCGAACGCGAGTGTGGGGCAGAGAAAATACTTATACAGCAACAGAAACAGAACCGAACAGAAATTAGTACGCACTTTACAACCACATGTGGATTTATGACACCTCGACGGAGCGGACAGAGCGGACGGAGCGGAGGCGACATCTGAAGTTGAAGAACTGGATGGCCACTTGTTGCAGCTGTATTTGATGGGCCAGCGATAAGATTGCCGAAGGCGCAGTCAAGGTGCTTGTTAAAGGATCGTTGGAAGGGATAAAGAGTGCTCCAAAGGGGCAAAGACGGGTAGCTAATGTGCTATCATCCCTTGAATAAGTATTTAGGAAGTGTTTAGTGAAAATATTAATTATCTTATTAGCGATAATACCAAGCGTCAGTTCGTCAACTATTTTATCGATTAGTTCGTCAATCATATCGTCAATGAAACAGTCAACAAGTCAGTCAAGCTGTTCGCCAATCAGTCTTTCAACCAAGCAATCAATCAATCGTTTCGTCAATTAGTCAATCAATGATATAATCACTAATATAGTCCATCAGTCAGTCCATCAATGAGTTCATCAATCAGTTCCTCAAACTCAGCTCAAACTCAGTCAAGCTGTGAGCCGATCAGTCAGTCAAGTAGTCTACGAATCGGTCAAGCAGCTAGTCAGTCTATTAGTGAATCTATGAGGAAGTCAATCAGTCAGTTAATTAATCAATCAATCAGTCATTAAATCAATCAGCCAATCGCTTAATCAATGACTTAGCCAATCAATCAGTTCGTCAAACTGTTAATTAGCCAGTCAATCAGTCTACCAATCAATCAATGAGTTATTCAATCATATAGTCATCACAATCAGCAAGCCGATCGGTGATTACATCAATCAGTTGTCAAGCATTCAGTCCTTTAGTCCATCAGTCAAGCTGTAAGTGAATCAGTCAGTAAAGCAACAATTACTCAATCAATAAGTCAGTCCCAACCGTTCGCCAATCAGTCAATCAATCGATCAATCAATACACGTGCGCAAATTAAAAAATGTCAAGACTGTAAAAATGATACAAAGTTATTAGTTCAAAACACAACTCGCGCTAGTTAGGCATGTGTTTTTATGGGCGTTTAAAGATTGACAGAGTTAAGCATTTTGTCAGAATTGGCAGATGATAATAGCTTTAGGCCAGGGGATTACGCTGCACGCATTCTTCAGAAATATTCGTTGGCTCGTCCAGTTTTCAAATAAATCTCAAAGTCTCGGCCATAGAATAGGAGATCGTAAAAAACGCCAAAAATTTCAACGTGAGGAATAGCTGTGTCGAAACTAGACGCTATTCATTTCATGGCCATAAAAAGAATCGATGCGTATTTATGTTGGGCTTTTATTTATTATTGTTTTTTTTTTTTCAAATTCTCCTGTTTTTTAACTGGATGCGACTTTTACTCGGCATTTCTTCAACCCAAGGCTTGCTGGGTTTTTTTTTTTTTACAACTTTATAATTTTTACAACTCAATTAACTTTTTTTTACTCAAACGCCGCCGGCAAACAAATAAAAAAAAAAAAACGCCGAAATGACCAAAAATTTAAACAATAAAACACGAAAATGCATAAACGAAATCATAAATACCTACTAGATACGATCGAGAGGCAGCCAAAGGCGATCCAAGACGTTCGCCAGATGAGCGTTTTATGCGATAAAAAACAAATAACAAAAATACAAAATAAAAACAAAACTGAAGTGTCATAAAGGGCATCAAAATGGAAATAATACTCGCGCACACACACACACACACACACGCGCGCGCTGTGGAAAATTGAATCGTGTCTAGCAGCTTAAAGGCCGCAGCTAACAAGTGGCCCCCAGCCTCAGGCCCGCTGCCACGCCCCCCGCGACAGTTAGTAGTTGCTCGGCGGCAAACTTCAAAAGCCGCCGACTTTGTTGATAAACAAAACGCGCACTGCAAAAATATGCAAAAAAAAAAAAAATGAACACAAAAAAAATGTGAAACTAAAAATGAAATGAAAAATCGAATTAATTAAAATTAATATTTTTTTATTTTTTGCGTTTTATAGAAAAAGCCAAAAGGCAAAATGAAAATTGTTTTTTTGCTGATTTTGTCAACGGCTTCTTCTTAATCTTCGGCGCTGCCTTTTTTTTTTTAATCAAACTGGAGCAGCGCCAAAAGGTCGCGGAAAAATGCAGCCGAGGCAGCGGCAGCGACAGCGACAGCAGCAGCGGATGCGACGACCGCTTGACAATTTTGCGACTTGGCATGAAATCAAATTATTTGATCTAAGCCGCCGCCAGGGGAGCTCGATAGGGGTGAGGGGCAGCATAAGCCGCTGCTTTGCGACTAAACGAAACCAAATGGTGCGTTCGCCGAATGGCGACGGCGACGGCGACGTCGCAGTCGCTGGCGCTGAAGTTTGCTGCGCCAATGTTAGAAATTGCAGCCCCGCAGCCGCCTTCTCTTACGCGCACTCCTCCGCTCTCGCTCTGCCCCGCAAGGCTCGCCAACAGCCGCGCGACATATGTTGCGGAAATATTTTGCGAACGAAGCGTCAGGAAATACTTAGCCTAATGCACCCATCTCGCTCGGGCACACATCTCATTTACATGCGAACAACAGGCAAGGCAAAAACAAAAAGCACAAAGCAATAACAAAACGTTCGACGCTCCGGCATTTTGTTTTATTATTTCACACCTGATGCTCGTTCGTGTTTTGACGTTCGTTTGACCATCGGCACAAACTCGGGCTGCCATTCGCCAGATCGCTAATTGCCTCGTCGTATAGCTTGTGCGTGTGTGTGTGTGTGTTTAATGTAACTATATAAGCGTGTGTGCGCTTGTGAGATTGTGTGTGTTGCTTAGCGCAGATCGCAACCGCTTTTTGTTTTGCTTTGTTTTCCTCAACCAATCGGCAGAGCTGGGGCGTGTGTTCCGTTAATTAATTATATATATATGATAAAGGCTGCCACCCTTTGCAAATATAACAGATATTCAAGATATTCAAATAACTTATAACGGACTGGCTTTCATTGAAAATTATCATATATCTTTAAGAATAATAATTAATTAATTAACTTTTTTAAATTATTAGTATAAAGAAATATCTGTAGCACAAATTAAGTCGTATTTGTCTACACAATTTTCCCGTCCTTAATTGTGTCCGTATATATGTATGTGTGAAAGTATCTACGTCAGTTAGTTATAAATGCATTTAGATGATTTCATGACATCTGGTGTGTGTATTGGCTAATGTTAGCACTCGAAAACTAACTGCTACGAAAGTGAACAAATCTATGAAACGTCGTCATTTTCGACCAACCGCCACATTTTACCGACCAGGGCCGTTAAATTTTCCATGCTGAACTTCACAATTTCCACAATTTGAAGCCAATAAAATTAACAAAACGCTCGTTTATACTCCCTATGACAGCATTCAAACCTCTCAATTCTGCCAATTATTATTTACATGAATAGCGAAACTTAATAAGCTTATATGGCCTACTAATAACGCTGTTTTAACAAGCTGTTAGAATTCGGGGTCCGTGGTGCTTAGATTTTCTGTGGCTACTTTTCATTATAAAAGCTGGCTATAATTAATGTACATATCACACAGTAATATTCATTTCCTAAAAGATATATTTAAAAAAACACGCATTTATTAATATCGTCACAAAATGGCTCACGGTTTGATTCAGTGGTGGAACCAGTAGTTCCGCAACTGTTCAAATGGTTCTCAAATGGAACTTCTGGCTGAGCCTGTTGTTGGTGTTGTTGCCGTTCCCAAGATATATTCTAGCAAATAATTTATAAAAGAAATTCAACCATTTATGTAAAATTGCAAAGAAATACAATAAAAATAAGCGCAAAATGTAAGTTGGTGTTGGATTTGTACAAATATGCAACGTGCGCGTGCTAAATTGTGAAAATTGTGCGTAACAAAAAGCCAAAGAGACTTCTGCGGCCACAGTGCCCCTAGTGGTGGCTACTTTTTTTCGTCTCGCTTTATGTGTGCTTCGTTGTCGTATACGTATAGACTTGTTGGCATGCTTGTGTTGGTGTGAAAACGCTGAAACAGTCAGGCTAGCAACGTGCTCGCTGTAGAGCCAACAATAGTGCAAGCGAGACAACCCTACAGCAGCATACGTGCATACGTGCGTCCGTGTGTGTGTCTGTGTGTGTGCGTGTGTGTGTATGAGTGCCAGGGCAAACGACTCGCTTGTATTTTTTCGTGTGTCGCCTTCGTCGTCTCCGTTAAAGTTTTTCTTTGCCTCAACGCAATCTTAACAAATTTTTAAACGTATTGTGTTTGTTTTAAACGGTTCTCATTGTCTTTATTGCCAAACATTTGCCTAAAGCCAGCGCGCTGCTAGTACTTATCTAAAGCGCCAGACGTGCGTGCCCGTACACTCGAACAAAGCGCGGCTGAGAAAAAAAAATAAAAAAAAGAAACCGAAAATCATTAAACAATACATAATTGCAAAAAAAAAAAAAAGAAAAATTGCCAAACGGCCACTATGGCCCTGGCTTGAGCCGTTAAGAAATGCATAAAACGAATTGTGTCCAATATTGCGTAAATGTGAGTGTATGTGTGTGTCTCTCTTGAAAACAAAAACAAAGAAAGTTGAAATGATTTTGCTGCCTTGTTTCCACTTATCATGACGTCGTCGTCGTCTCGAGTGTTGTTGTTGTTGTTGTTGCTCTTGTGAAATTGAAATCCAATTAAACGCAGTGCATTTTCAGCTGGCAATTTAAGCAAAAGTCAAGTGCAAGCAGCAGCAGCAGCAGCGGAGCAGTCTGGCCACACTGTGACTCCCAAATCCGCCAAGGTAGGAATCAAAAATAACTTCTCACCTCTCTCACTCGCACACAGACAGACCAGAGCCAGACAGTTAGCCGTTATAATAGTTCGGGTTGAAAAAAAAAAAAGAAAAAAAAACAACAACAAAATACAAAATACAAAAACAAAACGTATGCAGTTAAACCTTAGGTCGCCTCGTCCTCGGCAGCGAGGCCATTGACTGCAGCAGCGGAGTCAACGTTGTCGCCTTTAAAATTAATTGCATAGATTGTTTTATTAGCATGCTCCTCTTTTTTTTTCGTGAGTTGCTGACGCTTATTGGGCTGCTGTTTATACAACTGTTTGTGCCTGCTGCTTCTTCTTTCCTACGTAACCGTTGGTTGTTGCCTTTGTGGTGGTGGCGCTTGTATTCAGCGGAAGTCTTATTTGGCGCCCGCCAACGCAACGTGCCGCCGATTTGCAATTGTAATAAGGCCCCAGCAAATTAACATAGTATACTTATATACATACAGATATACATACATACATACATTTGAGTGGCATGTCTGCCGGAACTAGCAGCAAGAACAGGAACAGCAATAAGAAGCCGTCGCACTGCACTCCCACCACGATCAGCTGTTGCTCTCACAAGCACACACAACACAACAAACACCCACACATATACACACACTTAGAGCGAGTGAGAGCCTGCGACCATCTCACTTGCGCACCTGTCAAACGCAGGCAGCAACATAACTAGAACGTGCATTTAAAAAGGTAACAAAAAAGAACGGTAAACGTTACTTTTTTTTTTTTTTTTGTAAACGAAACTGACGACAGCGACATGAGCGGAGTGCTAATAAATCAGTGTAGGCAAAGAAAGCAAACAACAATTACAAGCACATATATTTATATATTTGTATGTGTGTGTGTGTGTGTGTGTGTGCGTGCATTTATAAAGCTTGACCAGTTTTGAGGTTAGAATCGGCCCAGCTTCACAGGTCAAACACACACAAACCCACACGCATACATATGTATGCATAGATAAAATCGTGTTGTTGTAGGTGCGTGTTGGACAACATCAAAAGAAAGCGCAGCAAATAGTGAGAGAAGCAGACAGAATGTAGATAACTAACTGCAAGGCAAGCGACAGCAGCCATTAAAATAGGCACAATAATAATTGTTTACTATTTGAAGAAAGCAAAACTAACAACAAGCGAAACAAAATTTTGTCATTTATTTTGTTAGCCAGCTAGAGAAAATGTTGGTTCCACTGTTGCTGTGCGCCTTTTGCCCAACTGCTTAAGATTTGTCTGTTTGCTGGGGCGCGACTCCATTTTTAATGTACATGTGTGCGTGCGAGTGTGTGCGTGTGTGTGTGTGTGTGTGTGCTTTTCACCATTGAAAGTGTCATTTAAATGGCATTTTTGTCTGTTTGTTGCTTCTTTTCTACCTACTGTTCATCTCTAATTGTTTACCTACACACACAAACACACTCACGGTTGTCTTTATGGTATCTCTGGTGACAGCAGGTTATTGTTAGGGTTTTTTTTTTGTGCTTCTCTTTTTAACCGCCTTGCAACTTTTGCGCTGATTCATCGCTTAATATTAATGCCGTCATGTGCGATGCGCTGTGTTTGTTATTTTTAGATATGTGCATACATATGTATTTACGCAGAATTGGCGCCGTAGAAATCCCGCTGATAAGATGTCAGGACGTTCAAGTCGCTGTGTTCTAGTTCTTTGTTCACATTTGTTTTTATTGATTTTAAGCTATTTATATAGTAAAGCACCGATCGAGTTCAGTCATTAGCTCAATATCTGTAAAAGATATAGTGAATTACGTGATTTATCCAACCCGCATGTGACGTCAATAAAATAATAACAATATCTGTAAGGGAAGTACACGAGCAGATATTCTAATAATAATCCAAATCCAATATGCTCGCTTAAAACTGTGCGAACAGTGTGCTACAGTCTTCGATTTTGGTTATACTGTTATACGCGGGGGTGCCACACTGTGAAGTTTCGCTTATGCCGAAAACTGCAGTGCTTTGCATTTACAGTTATCTTTGTGTTTGTGTTGCGAGACGTGAGTGACGCTCAGTTTCGTTTTGTATTCTTATCTAATTGAAACATCACACGTCGCCAGCTCACGCCGCCCGCTATCAGCCTTTTCTTTTATACACACACACACACATATACATATATATATATTTTGTTTTGCATTTTGTTGTGAGATTTACAGCTGCAGCTCAATCGATAGCTGTCACACATTTATCGATGACAGCAAAGCTGTTCACATATTCAATTATTTTGAATTATATATATAGAAAAAAAAAAACAAATAATTTGTAAATATATTTTGGAAATATATTTATTTTATATGTACGTTCTTGTGCGCGCGTGTGTGTGTGTGTGTGTGTGTGTGCGTCACTTTATCTAACTGTAATAACAACAACAGAAACGAAATGCTTAAGAAAGTTCTTTCCTTATTTTGCAGCAGCCGCAGCGCCCGCGCCTTGCTGGAAACGCCGACAACGCCTGAGCGCGCGCCTTAAATACGAAAAACAAAACACAACAGAGATAAGAGAGAAGAAGCAGCAGCAGTAGCAGCAGTAGCAACAGGAACGAGAGTGCAAGTTGTTTATTGCAAACGGACAAAAGGACAGCGCAAGGTTTTTATACAAATACATACATATGTATATTAATATAAGTATTGCTCATTGTGGATATACATATATCATAAATGAGTGAATTTCCAATGTGCAATTTTTTGTATTAAACCAATTTTCTTTTACACAGGCAACGTTGTGCGAGGCCATACGCACACGCACACGCGCACGCAAACATATTGACACACACATAGATTTATATACATATACATATATATATATATATATATATATATATAAGGACAGACACAAATATGGAACTGCGCGTTGGGAACAAATATCGGCTGGGCCGCAAAATTGGCTCCGGCTCGTTCGGCGACATCTATTTGGGCACAACAATCAATACGGGCGAGGAGGTGGCCATCAAATTGGAATGCATACGCACCAAACATCCACAGCTGCACATCGAATCGAAATTTTATAAGACAATGCAGGGCGGCATTGGTATACCCCGGATTATTTGGTGCGGCAGCGAGGGTGATTACAATGTGATGGTGATGGAGCTGCTTGGACCATCGCTGGAGGATCTGTTCAATTTTTGTTCGCGCCGCTTCTCATTGAAAACCGTGCTGCTGCTGGCGGATCAAATGATATCGCGCATCGATTATATACACTCGCGCGATTTCATACATCGCGACATCAAGCCGGACAACTTTCTGATGGGTCTCGGCAAGAAGGGCAATCTGGTGTACATAATTGATTTTGGTTTGGCCAAAAAGTTCCGGGACGCACGCTCCTTAAAGCACATAGCATATCGGGAAAACAAAAATCTGACAGGCACCGCACGCTACGCCTCGATCAATACACATCTGGGCATTGAGCAGTCGCGACGTGACGATCTGGAATCGCTTGGGTATGTGCTCATGTACTTCAACTTGGGCGCCTTGCCCTGGCAGGGACTGAAGGCGGCCAATAAGCGACAGAAATACGAGCGCATATCCGAAAAGAAACTATCCACATCGATTGTTGTTCTCTGCAAGGGCTTCCCCAGCGAATTTGTCAATTATCTGAATTTCTGCCGACAGATGCACTTTGACCAGCGTCCCGATTACTGCCATTTGCGTAAATTGTTCCGCAATCTATTCCATCGCCTTGGCTTCACCTATGACTATGTGTTCGACTGGAATTTGCTCAAGTTTGGCGGACCGCGCAATCCGCAGGCCATCCAGCAGGCGCAGGATGGCACCGATGGCCAAGGCCAGGGCCAGGATGCCGCAGCGGCAGCAGTGGCCGCCGCCGCCGCCGCCAACCATCAGCAGCAACAGCACAAGGTTAACACAGCAATGGCCACTGCCGGTGGCAGCACACAACAGATGTTGAGCAGCAATTCGGCTGCTGGACAAACGCTTGCCATGCTCGGCGGCGGCGGCATTGTCGGCGCCGGCGGCGGCGGCGGCGGTGGCAATGGCGGTGCTGGTGCGCAGCTAATTGGCAACGGTGGACTCAATATGGATGACTCAATGGCCGCCACAAATTCATCGCGACAGCCCTACGATACGCCCGAGCGACGTCCATCGATACGGATGCGCCAGGGTGGCGGCCTGCAGGCTGGCGGTGTTGTGGGTGATGTACGAAATGCTAAATAATATTTTATTGTTTAGAATGTTGTGCGACGATGCGAATTAAGCGCTGGACACACACACACACACACACACTCACACACACACACGTCCACACAGAGAACACGTACATACAGCAGATGCAGCCACACATACACACATTTAGTATATTACGCTCCATATGTATAAATATATACATATATATCTGTGTGTATATATATATATATATATTTGATGTACGCATACATAACATGTTATATGTATAGAACAGTCAGCGACCTGGTCGCTGGCAACGTGTTGCAGTAACACACACACACACAGACACACACGCACGCATACAAGCATACCCAAGCACACACACACACACACACGCAACGAGAAACAAACAGCTGCGCTTTCCTTTTGTACATTTTTGTTTGTTTTTATTATTTTTTTTTCGCTTAAATATTTGCGTTTTGCTTTGATGCTTTTTCTAATGATGATGATGATGATGATTACTATTATTATTATTATTATTATTAGTATTGTGTGGCAACGCTTATGATTAACATATGCTAAGTTTAACTTATAATTTTAGTTGATAAACAATTGCAAGTCGGCCGCAAAAAGGCGAAAGTATGCACTACTTTTAGCATCAGCTCCATCTGCAAGATACCGTTATTCGTAAACTGTAAAAGCAAAGAGACAGGATGACAAAATTGATAGGACGAAAGAGAGACAGAGAAAGAGAGAGAGAGAGAGTGTGTGTGAGACAGTGGGCGAAAGAGGGCGAGAGAGCAAGCAAGCGTGGCTCTTTAAGAAGATAACAATACGAAATAACACACTCGCACACAAAGCTCTGCACTAACACACACACACACACATGCATACACACATACATACACACACACTCACTCACTGCCTCTCTTATCCACTCGCTAGCTACTTCTGTGTGTTTTGCATTTACACTGTTGTGCGGGAACAGGATAAACAAAATATTTGGTTAAATGCATTTTTTTTTCTTCTGTTTGATTTTGTGCTCTGTGCTAACTATAAAACAACATCAGCAACAACAACAGCGACAACAGCGACAACAAATAAGAAACTTATCAACAGACTCAACTGAACAAAGGGCATACAATTTATATTAAATGAAGGGCATATAATCTAATATTTAAATATTAACAAATATTTTGAATATAAGTTGTAAGCTTGAGAGTGTAAAGGAAACAAACAAAGGACACAATATTCGCCAGTGTCCCTAACTTTTAGTCTAGAAACTTAGCATTAATCTAAACATATATATATATATATATATATGAATATATATATACAACAAATGCATATAACTAACAATTCGTAAAACAAACAAAAAGTAAGCAAAAACAAAAATGATAAGCAGAAATGAACGCGTTTTGTGCACCCCAACCACCCACATTATTAAATTTAAGTGTACAATTCATGATGAAAACATTTTGAAAGCAGCCTAGCAAGTAATTTCCCCCTTTCCCCTGCCCCGAAACCCGCGTAGCTTTAAGCAACTCTCTAATTTGTAAAGCCTCGATGTTAAACAACAGGAATTCATAATCTATAAATCTATTAATAATTCAATAACCCATTTTTGTTCTCTTTTGTTTATCATCTTTAATATAATATATGTATGTGTTCAATATTATTTGCGAGCTCTGTTTCAGTGTATTTCTCAGTAATCTAACTAAATGAAGAAAGAAACGGCAAAAATCGTGTAACTAATAACTTAATACAAATCATAATTACCCACACACACACACACACACACACACATACACACACTATATAAAAAATATGTACTTTGCATTATATATATATATATATATATTATATATTTTCAATTAGTTTGTAAAGTCGTTAAGGGGCGTGAGCTGCGAGCACGCATTAAAATTATAACGCTAGCTAATAAATTGTAGCTATAATATGAAATTTGTTTATAAGTAATACCAAACCAATAAAACAAAATAAAAACAAATGAGTAAACGCGAAAAATAACTACAATTCGAATTCTGCCCAAGTCAAGATTATGAATTATGAACATTAATGCAAGAGATAAGAACGTGCAACAACAACAAAACAAAAGTTTATCTTATGAAACGTATATGAAACACGTAAACATTAAAAATATATATGAAAAAAGAAAACAAAAACAAATCTTATGTAAAACTTTACACAACGCGCCAATATGCCGTTTATATATAGCAGTAAAAGAGATCAGAAATAAATGATTATATAAAATACGATAAATGTTTAAAGGCAGGCGAATAAAAGTGAAAAGTAACATCCGAATGTTAAATAAAAAAATGCATTACGTGATATTTCTTACAGTTTGTTTCATTTGTTTTCTTTCGTTTAGACCTTCATTTCGAGATACTTTTCATTTGCTTTCTTCTTAATTGGATCGGAAACTCGAGATTATCGCCGAGAACCTCTTTCGACTCCGGACACGCACGCCTTGTAACTTGACCAAAAACAAAAACTGACAAAAAAAAAAAAACAAAAACATATAAAGATTAGTTCTCATATAACACGATTACACAACTTAGGAACGGAACAGTCCCCTAGATAGAGTCTAATCCGCTGCGGAACCTTGGAACTAGTTCGCGAACGCAAATTAACTGAGTGTACATATGAAATTATTCGAATAACAAATAACCTTGTGTGATTTTCCTTCTAACTAGCGATTTATTAACAAACTAACAAACATGATAAAACAAATTAAACTATGAAATGAGAACAAAACTATATATATATATATATATATATATATATATATATATACATTAAATACGCTAACTGTATGACAAGTCCATACGCCATAAGGAAACAAAATACATATATATAGAACTCGTAACAAATTATAAACGAAAAGTAACAGAAAATTTTGAGCATTTTGTAAAATTTAATGTATTTGTATATTGAGAATAGAATTTTTGATCTAATTATTAGCACGCAAATCGAATATGTTAGTTACATAAACCCTATGTATATGCGATAACATTGAATATTAACAAACCACCAACAGTGATATGAGATACAAAAACAAAACAAAAAAAAAAAAACCCAAGATAAAGTTCATAATATTAATCGTACATGAATTAAACAAAAGTGTGTAAAAGCTAATGTCATAAATGGGATATCGTCAAAACTGAACGCGCAAGTCACATAAACATGAACAATAACAAAACTATGAAATACAACTAGAACAGCAACAAATTTCCATAATTCTTATAGATGTATATTATTACAACAATTACTATTGCAAATGTCTCAAGCTAGAATATTCAGCAGGCACATACCATATGTATGTATGTATGCGCGCATATCTAGTATTTCATTAGCCGAAACATACACACACACACACACACACACACATACACACACACACAAACAGTTCGATAGAATTTTAACACATTTGAACAAAGAACTCATAAAATATAATAAATTTAATAATAACACTGCGAAATTAGAAGCGAAAAGGGTAAATGAATAAATAATTAATAAGTAATCCGTAAAATTAACAAATTGCAACAACATTAGATACACTAAAAGGAGCGAATGTCATTTACTCGTAATTGTATGTAATTAATTGTCGACAAAAAAAAAAACAACAAAGAAAACAAGAAAAATGCTAAAATGAATAAATTATGATTTTGAAAACATAATAACTGGAATCTTATTTTAATTGCGTAGCTAGTTTATATTTCATTCATTCATAACAGTTTTTTTTTTTTGATAATATATTTGATTTTCTTAGGAGCCAATGTCACATTGGCGAAATAACGGAAATGCACATTTAAGTGTGGCCAGACACCATGCTCTCGGGGACAGCGACTGATACATTGAATGCATGCGATATTTTCTTCCAATAGGTGGTCAAGGCAAACGTGAGATAATCTGTTTGTGTACTTACATTGTATATACTAAATGTAATTAAAGCATTATGTTATTTATATTATCATAGTTTGATTTGAAATAAATATGTAGGCACAGCTCGTGAATCGACAGCGACAGTTGCATAAATATCGCGCATCTCTAGATGCGCAATTGCCTTGTATTGTCCATCTCAATTGTCATACATCGCTCTCTAACGCTCATCTCTAGTAGCCCAACACAAGTTTGCAAACGAAAAGGTAAAGTGATTTTAATTTGGAATTCAGTTAAAAGAATAAGCGATAGCTATATATATAAACAAAAGCACACGTTCTTAACATTATCCGCCGTCACGCAGGCGACACTACATAAGAGAGAGGTTCCTATTAGCTGCAACAACATGGGCGCAAAGCAGTCGCGTGAGCCACGTTCCGTTTCAATGGAAAATCCAACTCCTGCCGGCGTCCTCGACATATCCGACGATGTGGTGAAGCGTCTGAAGCAGGGTATCACACAGCAGGGTAAAGTATATAGTCGGACAAGTAATTGTAATTGCGCTGCCAAAGATGAGAAATCGTCGCGGCCAAGTGTTATGCAACAATTGTCAAATGACCATTTATTTATATATAAATTAAATATGTTAATTGACACAAATTTCTTATGGTTTGCAGCTCGCGAAAATGCAGCCGCTGCGGAGCTGTCAAAGCCAGCGCCAAAACCACAGGAGCCGGCCAAAAAAGCGCCCGTCAAAGACGCCTCCCCGCCATCAACGGTTCTTTACCAGAGCGCCACGCCCATTTATGTGCAGGGCGGCGGTCACACAATCAGCGCCGCTGATGTGCAGCGGCAAATGAATCAGGAACTGGTGAAGAACGATGAGCTGTGGCGGCAGCGCTTGACAAAGCTGGAAGAGAATCTAAAGAAGACGAATACCATCATGGAATCGGAGTATGCGAATGCTGTGGAGGGTGTGCACAAGCGTTTCGTGAGCACCGCAGCGGCGCACAAAACGCCGCTATGCCAGGACCTAAAGGCACAGCTGCTTGCCTGCTATCGTGCCCATCCCGGCGAGACACTCAAGTGCATTGAAGAAGTAGCCCAGTTTAAGCAGTGCGTCGATATGCATCGCATCAAGAAACTGGATAGCGAACCCGAAGCGCCCAAGGCGTCAGCTGCCGGCAAGGCGGCCGTGCCGGTTGCCAAAGCTGGTTAAAGGACTTGTTTGCCCTGTTTAACAACGTTTCCTTCTTGTTTGTTTGCTTCTGCGTCTACCACAAAAAGCCTTCAAATGATCTGTTTAAACGAGGGAGCATTCTATTAAACGCGAGGTGTCATTGTAAACGATAGTAAATTAATTTAATATATAACAAAGGTGCGTTTGTTAATTGCCTATCAGCATATCGTGAATTCGGCAAGGATTTCAAAGGAAGCTTACCCTATATAGAAGTACACGCGTTCAGGATAAAGAGGTAAGTGGGTATGTGACATTGGCTTATATTTTTACCTATTGAGATCCTTTCTGAGCACACACATAGTCGGTATTGTTCAGATTGGATTACTATAACGATGCATATTGATTATATTTCATAAAAACTATTTAAGATAACTTAGTGAATTTAATCTGAACCTTGTTTTGATCAGGTATATATACAATACTATTAATTCACTACTAATTAAGTTAATTACTGACTGACTGATTGGGTAACTGATTGACTGAGTGATTAACTAGTTGTTGGACCGATTCTCAGGCAGAACGACTGACTTGTTAGCTGGTAAAATGACTGACTCATCAACTGATTGACTGACTGACTGACGATCAGTCAGATCGATTCACTGACTGATTGAGTAACTGAAATAGTAACTGACTGACTGATTGATTGACTAACTGATAAGCGATCAAAGCACGGCTCAAAACATAAAATCTAGGAAGTTGACAATGTCCAGGTTAGTTACATATGGTGATGTATGGGAGGGAAGTGACTGGAATAGGATTTTTGAAGCATTTTCTTGTTTAGTTTTTAAAAAAGATTTCAATTACATCAATGAAGATTTATGTAGAGAATATGTAATGTTGGAAAACAGAAAAATCAAAACTTTTTTTACATAGGCATACTTCTCAGGAAAAAGTCGGGTAATACTTGCTAGAAATTTAATAATATGCTTCCTCTGGGAAAGCAATTGGCCCTGTATTAATATACAACGTTTATCATATTTGTATCAAATGTGGTAGGGCCTCCAAGAACTTTAGTTAGTTATTACAGGATAACTTTCAGTCGATCATCATCAATTCGAGTATTTTAAATGGTCCTTTTCTGTAATTGAGTGCACAGTTTTTTTTTTTTATTTAACTAATTAACTTTAATCGCTTCTGCTTTTATGTTAATCAAGTTAACTACAAAACCGTAAATACTATATAGTAAAAGACACACACACACACACACTAACAAAGTGCAAACACATGCAGTTACGTGTGTGCATATATGACATATGTAAGGAATACGTAAAGAATTAAAGCAGATGCGCGATCAGCCAAGCGGCCAGCAGCGGAAGCAGCGAGAGTCTCAGAGCGGCGGCGCTGCTTTCGGCCTTGTTGCTGCCAGCTGTCGACAGATGGCGCTTGCAGGAATCATCAAAATTCTTGGCGGGACCCATGCAGCCGGCATAGCTCATAACGTAGGCCAAATAGTTTTGCTCGAAGACGCCGCGCACCAGACTAGAACCGGGGCCGCTGGCAAAGACAATCACATCCTCGCCGCCATGCGTTTCATCCTTGAGCGCCAGCGTGGCCATGTGGCGATAGGTGGGGGATTCGGTCTGCTCCTTGGTGTACAGCTTGAGTGGCATCCACACATTGGAGCTGTTTGCCGGCTTTGTTTCATTCGCCAAATGGTCGAAGTAGCCGGGTCCATTGGCATACGTTATGGTCTCATATACCATGGGATCCTTAGGCTTGTGTGAATTGGCGGCGCCCAAAATATCAGCGCCGCGTTCCGGATAACCATTGAAGGTGACCGAATGCGAATGATCCGCTGTGACCAGAATGAGCGTCTCCTCCGAATCGGTCATCTTTAGAGCCGCTTGCACGGCCAGATCCAGTTCGTAGACCTCGTGCAGGGCAGCACGTGCATAATTCTGATGATGACCCTGATCAATGCGTCCGCCCTCCACGAGTAGCACATAGCCCGGCGACTGCTTGCCACGCTCCAGCACACCGATGGCCGTCTCGGTCATCTCCTTCAACGATGGTTCGCCCTGTTCGCGTGCTATGGAGTAGGTGATGTGATTGTTCCGAAACAAGCCCATCAAATGATCCACCTCCTCCACATCCACCTTCATCAGCTGTTCGCGTGTGTACACCAGCGCTGCGTCGGCACTGTCGTTGGCGTGCCGCTGCAGCCACTCCTTGGCCAGATTGCGCTCATCGTTACGCTTGCAGATGGTTTCGGTGCCGCCCTCGAATTGGACGGTCTGCACCTCGCTCTCGTTGAAAGCGCCCATGGGCGATAGGCCACCACCTAGCACCACGTTTAGCCTGTTGCCAGGCGCATTCTCAACCAGCTGGCGTGCAATGTCCGCATGTATGCCAATGGACTCCTGTGGCACCTCCGTGTCGCACTCCCAGTCCCGATGATAGACACGCGCAAAGGTGGCTGCGGGCGTGGCGTGCGTAATGCGTGTGGTGGTCACCACGCCAGTGCGTTTGCCTTCACGCTGTGCCCAGTCCATGATGGAGTCGAGTCGACCCTGGCTGGCGTTCAACTTGGAGCGTGTGGTGTCCATGCCAATGGCGCCATAGTCGCTCTTGACACCCGTGAATATGGCTGTAGCTGTGCCCGCCGAGTCCGGCACCTGTTTATCCACATTGTAGGTCTGTCAAAGGCAAGGAGATTGATTTCATCTAAGAACAGTTTAAACTAACTAACTGATTGATTGACAGACTAATTGAGTTACTGATTGATTGACTATCTGATTGACTGCTATTATGGCCGTTTGATTGATAGAGATCCAAAATTTCTGACAGATTGATTGATTTACTAATTGATTGATTAACTTGACTGACTGACTGATTAATTAATTGATTTTGTGACAAATTGATGATCGAACAACAAATTGATTGACTTACTGATGTACTGGTTGACAGCCGGTCAGCTGGTTGACTGACTATTGACTATTTTATTGACTGGCCGGCTGATTGATTGCTTGACAGACAGAATAATTGACCGATTGACTAGCTGTTTAACTATCAAAAGACAGACTGTTTTCACTGACTGATTGATTCTTTGACTTATTGACTAAATGTGTAATTGATTGATTGATTGAATTGAAAGCTTAGCGGAAAGTTTTTGATTTAGGCTCATTTAAAAAATCGGATTAAAAAATACAATTTGCCTTTCTAGAGGGAAATAATACTTTCTAATCTATATGATCTATGATCATCTAATTATAACATACCTTGGCCAGGCCCGTGTGGGGGAACTCATCAAAGGACAGCATTTCCTCCTCGCCATGTCCATGCTTTAGGTACTGGCCCTTGTAGATGCGTCCGGCACTGATCGTGGACAAGCCCATGCCATCGCCAATAAAGATGATAATGTTCTTGGCCTTGTGCTGATATGAGTTTTCCTTGGCGCGCTTTGCCTTTTCTATTATTTTACCCAGCTGCTTAAGGCCCACTCGCCGCCAGAATGTTGCATCTGTAATTGGAAATGAATTAGGCACGATCAGAGCTTGAGCTACCTCACTAATTCGTGACATGTCTGAGTCGTCTGTCGCTTTTGAATTATTTCTGGTGAGACCCACTTGACACTCGCTCGTACTGCCGATCATATCTGGTAACAGCCGCTGCGACTAATTAGATTTAGATTTATTTTGCCAGACGGACAACGCAAATATCTGAAAGTCGCTCGTTCTGTACACAAGGCCCATTAGAAACGTTTCAACAATTCTACAGTTCGGATGTGGCTATGTAATTCCCCCTCTAATATTTTTGCAATGCAACTATTCTATTTCTAGATGGGGATTTTACAGATATACGACTTTCCAAGTGTTCAACTCGTTTTTTTTATATTTAGAAATTTGCATTTTCATCGCAGTACCCACATATTTAATGGTATATTAATAGTATTTTTTTAAATCAATAATAATACCCTGCACAGATGCAGATGTGTTAAAGGGCCATCCTAATAAAGTTGAGCACATTTGCATACTACACTTTTGATACCAAGAGCCTATATTTGTTCTTGATTGCATCAATAAACTGGAAGATAAATACGTCTAGCGTGTTTTTTAAAATGAATTGTTTTTAATTACTTAAGATTCAGAACATCTATAGCTACAAATACTGCTGTGTGTATATGAGGCAGATTCATATTCTGAAAATTGCATTAAAAAATTTATACAGGGTATCTATAGCGTCTGCCTGCAGGCCAACGTACAGTCTCACACTTCCTATATTTATATAAATATATATATATTTGCCGATTATAACTCTTCTGGTTTAGTATGCAGTCGGCGATGTTTGCAAACACCAACCCCCTCACGCCCACGCCCATGCCTATGGCCAGACCCCCGCGGAGCGGCACTGACGCACGTTACAGTTAAACTGCGTTGACAGACTGTTAATTTGAATTGTCAATGAAATCGAAAATGGACAATTAGAGGCTTTTGCCGCGCGTATGATTGGAGGCATAATTAGCACTATTAATGTTGGAATTAGATATTGCCAGCAGTGGCAGAGTTTAACACCTGTGAGTAACTGTTAAGAAGTGCTCTAACTAATTGCTGTTTGTACAATTCAATTGGGCAATGTTTGCCATTTGGTTAACACGAACCTGTTGAATCTGTTTATATCTTAATTAAAAATTGTTGTCGACAATTGAAGCGAGATCAACTCGATTCGACTATGTTGTAGAGCTTTTAAATTCCATTATAATTGGAATATCTGGGTATTTCCAAAGGAGAGAGAAATTGCGCGAATATTTTGTTCAATTTCTTTTGTAAGATATTCTTTTATTCTTAATATTGTTTATCTGTGGCTTGATGTATATTGACATTAGCTTAAATATGATTCTAAACTGTCGTGTAGCTGAATTAAAGAGGTTTATTTTTTTTTTTTTTTTGGTATGTGACTAAAAACTGAAGCGTGTATCCGCAGCTATTTCAGCTGTATCAACAATCATTCAATTAGAATTTTTTTGTTATGTTTTTGGATAATTTGAGTTTTGAACCTGACACCAAGACTTGAAATAAAGTTTGACCTTGAAATAATATGGCAGGCATATCAATTATGTATGTATTATATGCTTACATATTTTTCTATTTTCCAGTCAAATAATTTGACGTGTTATATGAGTTTGTTAACCTGGAGATATTGTGGCTTTTTTTT